TATATTGTTTCTGTCAGGTTATATTAAATGAAGCCGAATTGGCTTTTATGAAGGTGAGACACACAACAACTATTCTGTACTCCACTGAAATGGACTTGTTTCTATTATAATGGTTCATTTGCAACTGAAGACAATGGAAGATTAAATTAAAGCAACTTTAGGGGGACTTTAGGAGGACTTTAGGGGGACTTTAGGAGGACTTTAGGAGGACTGCCTAGTGCCTAGTATCCCTCTCTGTGAGATGTGTCAAGGCCAGCGGTACTGGAGGGAAATATGTGAGAGGTAAACATGCCTCAAGGTGAATACAATCCCAGTCGTCTAAATCAGCTTTGGCTGCTCATATAAGTCCAGAAACCACTGAATGTAGGTCACCACGTGCTCCAGCTTTCACAGAGAGTGCAGTAATGAGGGAGACACAGTGACCAGGCAGAACCACGACTGTATGAGTGAACGGCTAAGTCCTGCGGACTGGACAGTGGAGATCACACTCCATGGTTATGGTCCAGACAAAAACCACGGGGACAAAATGTTCCACCTTAGTTTGTTTGTTTCACAGACCAATGAATCCTGACCCAAATATATCAATGACACGGCTATTACTGCCTTCATTCCTGCAAAGCTGATATTTCTGGAAGTTTTATATTCTACAACGAGTCAGGAAAACAAAGGCAGCCTTCTCAGACTCACAAACAGGTAGAAACATTGCTTTCAAAGGTTCCATCCTAAATAAGTCAAGTACAGCAGTCATATCTGGCCTTCTACTTTAAGCAGTGTCTGGTTCAAGGGTTCAAGTACAGTTGGGCCTCTTTCCCAGCAGGTTTCTCTATGGCATCATGCTAACTGTCCCAGTGTACCTCCTTCCCACTGTCACTTCTTTGTCACCGTACAGGACACTGTGACCTGAAGGGTTCAGCCAATAATCATCTGTCCCTGCATTAATATCCAGGGGGGAGTCATCCCCACCATATGAGAGTGGCTATACAGGCCGGGGTATAGATGCACCCCACCGGCCGCGGTCTGCATGGGTCACTGCTCGGTGTCTCATGTTTACCCTCTCACCGCCGCAGTCTGTCTGCGAGACCCTGAGAAGCGCCAGTGAGGGTCTCTGTCCCACGTAACTTCCTCCTCTCTGAATGGCCGCTCTGTCACAGGATGGGGATCGCCCCGGCACCCAGACGCGAAAGACAACATGGAGGGTATGGATGACGCACTTTGGCGCCCCCCCCCTCCCACCGGCACGGCGGACCGTCACCCAGGCTTTCCTGGCCACAGACAAAGAATTTGTGGATGTCCAGGGACAAGGTGTCAAGGAACTTCCCCTTTTCCTAAATAGTTCGAACAAGGGTTCGAGTCTCCACCATGGCTCCATGTGTGTAGAGTTTGCATGTTCTCCCCGTGTCTTTGTGGGGTTTACTGTGGTTTCTTGGGATTCCCCCAACAGCACAAAAACATCCTGGGGTTAATTAGAATTAGCAAAATGTCTGTAGGTGTGAATGGTGTGTGAGTGTGCCCTGTGATGGTTTACCCCCCCCCCGCCCCCATCCTGGGTTGTTCCCTGCTGTTTGCCCATAGACTGCAGATCCCCAGAATAGGATAATCAGTTACAGAAAATGGATGGATGAATACTTATACAATTCAATTTGCACACTGTAGAATTTTTAATGTGTGCTCTTTAAACTGTCCAAACTGCATTGTGTGACATATATGGCAGATAACTGAAAATTCCCCATTTCTGTGTTTCACTCTTGCAGTCATACAAAAAGTTCTGTGAGCAAATTGATGCGTCATGTTCTAGTTTGGCTTGACAGACACTGACCTCTACTGGAGAACATATATATTTACAGTATATCTCGACTATATTGTGAAGAATGTACTTGGACTGTATATTACAAAGACACACTGTCTGCAATTAATTCATAAGCAGAATGAAAATGAATTTCATAGTTGAGAGATGTAACAGTCCAGTTTCCTAATTATTGAGAAGTATAATTAAAATAAAGATTAAATAATTACAATTAGTTATAATTATAGCGGTGGTCCTGGAAGTCATTTATAAGTAGTCATGGTATTACACTGAAATTTGGTACATTTGTACCTAAATGAAGCTATTGCTGGAACAGTCCAGCTCTTGTGGTTTTAAAAGGGCACAATCGGACTTGTATGTGTAAATGTGCCAAAGTAAAAATGAAACATGCAATGACCACATGCAGGCAAAAGAGATCTCCATGCGTGTTTTTCTTTCATCCATTTTCTAAACCTGTTTGTCCTCTGCTAATTCAAGAAAAAGTCACATAATTTGGCTTGAAGTTCTGCCTGGTCCCTCTCAAATATTTTTTTTTGTTGTGGAAAAAAATTAGATTTTAACATATAATCTACTTGCAGATATTCATAAGCTGTCATTTTTAATGTGCTTAAGTTTGCTGACTTGGTTGGACGGCACTGCTGTAATAAGACGGCGAGTACATTTTTAATAGAATTCTAAATGAATAGATCCATTAGTTCAGTGGCTGAACTGGATAGATAATTCATCTTTGAATCACCATGAAAGGTTGTGTGAGTCACCACCTCGGTTCCTCATTGTTACTGAAGAGTCCCACTGACAGAAGAGTTCATTTATCGGTGATGTGCTACACTAAAGAACAGACATGCCCAAGAGGGAAAACAGGCATTTTCTACTTAACGACTAGTAACTTTCAAAAAAGATGCTTTGCATTTTGCATCAAGTTATGCTACCACAAAGAGATCCCTCTGTATGACAGAAAAAGGATTTCAAAAGGATTTAAAATCATGAGACAGAAACAACAAACCATTACACCTGCTACCCCAGTACATTTGTATTCCTTAACTCTAACCTTTTATAATCATGTAATTGACTATAGATTTTGGAAAACCCTGCAAGTCAGAATATTGTTTTGCTGTAGAGAAACTGGTTTAACAACTTTTACAGCCCTTTTGTTAATAGTCCTTAAAGCCTACGAGATTAGTTAGAGTTCCAGTCTCAATTAAAGCTTCTGCTTGAAATGAACACAGGAGAAAGTGGAGTTTTGTTGTTCAGCACAGTACTCATGAGTGCGTCGCAGGCCTGTATATACCCATTCAGCACGCTACCATACTCACCGGTGCTGCAGATGACCTTAGCATGGGAAGTACACGATGCAAAATTTCCAATACTCTGAATAATGGTCTTCATTTGCCATTAGCTGCACGGTTTACACGTCTTTATCCAAAAGCCATTTTCACTAATGGTCCATTCCCTGTTATTACTTAGACCGTGCTCAAAAAGAAAAGATTTAAATCCAGATTCTATTATTTCACATATCTGTCCAGCATCTCCGCAAACAGTTAATACATCAAACGCTTCCTGTGGTGCCCCGCACCTCCTCGTGGTCCCAGAAGGTGAAAGCCTACCTACCTTTTCTGCTGCAGGTGACACAGGTATCCCCTCTGCCCAAGCGTTCCTCCTGAAAAGCCATGAACACTTTTCCCAGACTGCCCCTAACATGCTGGCATATTGCTGCTGTTCTCAGGGTAATCGCAGTAAGTCCCAATGAATGGGCCACTGGATCGGAGGCCTTGGGGCGAGCGGTTCCATCTGGTACCAGGGAGCCCAAGGTGCTACCAGGAGAATTACATAAAACTAGCTTGAGCTTCCTGGATACCTGGAAAATGCACAATTTGGACGTACAATATGTTTCCCCTCAGCTACGTGTAGTCTTTAAAATATGAGCTAGCATCTTGCTAAGCTAACGTTAAACATTTCCATATTTCCCCAAAGGATTCAAAGTTTCATTTATTATTTATCTGTCTCGTTTGCTCAAACACAAAGGCTGCCTCAAATATACATTAAGGAATACATTTTCGAATGTAAATTGTAACATTGCCTACAGAGTAAGTGATTACACTGGATAGACTTTGTACACTATATCTTTGATTGCATATCTGGATACCCTCCAGAAACAGACTCTAAAGGGCATAGCTGGAACTGGCTGAGTGGCTCATATGTTAAGGATGTTCAGCTGTTGTTAATGACTGGTCTGTCACAGGTAAACGATGTCAGTTGGGTGAAGACGTGATAGATGAAGACGGAGGAAAGGTCCGTGTGTGCAAATTCGAGATTCATGTTTCTAGCTGTTCTTTTCTAAATCGCTGCAATTTTGAATCAGAAAATGCCATTGTTGGCATTAACCTTTTCAATACTTTAATACTGGCAGAATCTCCTCTATTTGTGGAGCACGATAACTGCAGTACTAAGGTCAACATTGCTGGCATACCTGGCAAGATTAGGTTGTGAAAAAGTGTCTGAGAGGGTGGAGGATCGATTCTCACGATCATAAAAGTCTGGGTCTGGAAAATCGAGTTTATCGGGAGTGTCGTGTCCCGGGAGGGGTGGAGAATTGGGAGAAACCTGGGAAAATTGGGAGCGTGTGCAGTGATCACTGCAGGGTGGAACGTAACAGACCAGGCAGTTACGTAAACAGGTTTGATGCGCTGATTAATTTCACCTGTTTCTTGCTCCCTGGGGTAGATATAAATTGGTGTGATGTCATTTACTCATATTCAGCTAGAATAATCCATGAATGATCAGCTTCACAGCCTAGTGAGCCCGAACCGCTCCTGCCTGCACCCCAGCCTCTCCATTCATGCAGAAAGGATGGATTGCATGCTGTACTTCCTTAGAACGCTGCTCTTTCACCCAACCCGACCTGAATGTTTCACAGATGATGATCCCGTTCCCTTACTGGCCATTTTCATGTGGTTCTGTCACCCAGAGTGTTTCGCGAAACACATGATGTGCTTGTCATTTTTTTTTTTATATTCTAGTGTCCCTTTCAGAAGCATTTGCCGTCATGAATCCTCTCTGTGGGACCAGTTAAATGCTTAAGGTTCTGTTTGCTCATTTTAGACACTTATTTAATTATAAATGTTTAAACACTTAGCGTGAGCACAAACCGTTGGAAGCAAGGGTTCTGGGGATAGAAAAAAGAAATTTCACAAGGTAGGATCTTTGTGAGATAAACACATTTATTAGATAAAATATAAAGGCTCTTGAATACAAATATACTATTCGAGCTAGGTGGAAATCACAGCGTGGAAGTAATTGAAGAACATCCTGTTCACTGGTACAAAGCTGATTCTACTGTATGTCCTCTTATGCTTCAGCTCTGAAAGCTCAATCAAAATGGCAGAAGAGCATGGCGGTTAATCTGCTTTACGTGACGTTGAGCAGGTAGACCACACGCGAGGCGGCACAGACGTGACAAAATGAAACATATTTTTATGCAGAAATATAATTAGTAGATCACCTATGGGGCTTTGACCTCTGTAGGGTTGGATTTCCAAGCTGGAGAAGAAGTTACATAATTAAAAACACGCCAACAATTATCAGTTACACTATATGTACACATGTAAAATTAAGAAAAAAATTAATTTTATCCAACTGCATACCTTCATATTTGACTGCATCAGTAACATGGCTTTGTGTTGTAGTTTTAGACATGCACTTGAACAAATCCTGACCAGGGTTTTGTTTCAACCAGCCAGTTCAGTACTCTGTGAATGTGACTCTTCATACTCAACCGGTTGGCTCAAACAAAACCCTGGTTGGGATTTGTACTTTCAGGACTTGGACTTTCCACCTCTTTTTTTTTTTTTTTGTTATCACCTCAGATAGATGATGTCTGATGGTCTGTCCAAGCGCCGGAGTCCTGCGTTACAATTACATCCAGTGTGAGCAATTCACCTCGGGAGCGGAGCCAGTGCTAATCAGCAGAGAACAAGGTGGCGAATGAAAACACGGAGCAGAGGAGAGTGGGAGTCAGTGCCGGTCCGCCGCTCAGCGTAGACACCTCACTGCAGGGGCTGGGGGGGGGCCGGGCCTTTGCTCTTATTTTGGGGGGGGACATCAAGGTACCTTGAATCTGAATGGGGCAACAACAGAGTGAGCAGCGTGTTAATGGTAGCGGGTATAAGGACAGACGCCAAATCTAACTTCAATGATGAGAAATGGAAATTTGCGTCAAGTAGGCCGTGGTGGTGTTACGGTATATTGAGATCTGCGGGTCTTATCATGACACCCCCCCCCCTCACAACCCCAGTGAATTTTAATTGCCAAATTTTCAAAATAGTGCTGCTTTTGAAAATACTATTGCAACACTGTACCCCGTGGTATAATGTCTGGGCATATAATGATATGAGAAATGACATGCTACCCAAGGGATGCCAACTTTGGTCAGCTGGCTGGCACAAGTCCAGACACATGCACACACATTTACATGTATGTAACAGATGTATTACCTTGGAAATAGACTGTAGGGTTTGCAAACTATCCCAACGCTTTCGATGTAGCTAATTTGAGGTTTTCAATGGAATAATATAGATTCGTCGTAACATTTCTCGCGTGAAAGTGCGAGTTGGCGACCCTGAGCTGGGTATCAGGGGCCCACCATGACGCGCCGCGCCGCCCCGCATGACCCCTGGCATCTCTCACCGACCACTCGTCCTGGCTGTGCTTAGAGCATCGCAGGTTCATCGGCAGCTGCAGCACCACTTCGTTGAAGGCCTTGCCCCTCTTCTTCGACCACTTGAACTTGTCCATGGCCTCCGTGAACGACAGGTTGCTGTAGCGCCGCGGGCTTTTGATGTAGAACGGCCAGGTCCTTCGCGGGAGAGACACGGCGAGTGAGTGCCGCAGACCTTACAGATTCAGAGCGGCCAGTTCTCCGTGACGCTGCCGGAAAGCGGCATTTTTTTGGAAAAAGTCGTGCTTGCTGAAACTGATCAAGCTAAACAGACACTTTCTGCAGTTACGTTATCTTGCTGGGAAAGTCTGTGTCAAACAGCCTAATTACGGACGTTGCTGGTTCTCAGCACTCCCCTGGTTTTTTCCCCTTACAAAAACATTTTTTCCTTTCTTCACAAGTGCATGTTTGGGGTAGGGGGTGGGGGTGGGCAGCAAAAAGGAGCTTTGTAACCTAATCTGTTTGGAGTGGTTCAGCCTGACCTATACAGATCGCTCCGCTCCCGCCAACGGGCACAAAAGGGAGAATGGGCAGGTGCATTAACCCGAGCCTCATAAGGCTCTTGTTTCTAGGCCCCTCGCTTGCCGGCATTATTCCCAGGATCGGCACTGACCCCACCGCCTGTCTTACGGGCCCGGCTGGCCGCTGTCGCTGCCAGGAATGCCTGAAATGTCCCGTAATTGCTATTCAGGTCTGGTTCCTGGGCCCAGAAGGAAGAGACACTCTAAATTCAATGGGCCCGGCCCAAGTCGCGATGGTCACCCGTCCTTTGTTGCGGGGAACACTGGCGGGGATCAGATGCCTCACAGAGACCCGGCTTTGCCCCAAGCACCGATTTCCTCCCCTGGAGCAGAAAGGCAGACCAAAGGCAGACCAAAGGCAGACCAAAGGCAGACCAAAGTGTTGCGTTTAGTATCCTGATAAATCAGTGACTTCAGGAGACCTGTGTTGTTGTACAGGTATTCCAGGCATCAATATTGCATTGATGGATCTATTTTTGAGCAGCTTTTACAGCTCTGCTGTACCACGGCAATGAATGTGTTGCACTCTCCTGAAAATACTGACCACAAGCTGTTAGGTTCCAAGATCTTGTATATTCTTGTAAGAATTCTTTTTACTTTACTGCCAGCAAACTCTTTTCATAAGTTCAAAGCAGAAAAGGAACTGAATGATTCCAGACTCCGACAGTGTTGTGAGTAATTCTACAAAGGAAAAAAAAACCTATTGCCACATGTTTAAATTCTATTGCAAACTATCTCCATCCATCCATCCATCCATCCATCCATTTTCCAACCCGTTTATCCTTCTGGGTCACGGGGGGTCCGGAGCCTATCCTGGAAGGTATGGGCACGAGGCGGAGAACAACCCAGGATGGGGGGCCAGCCCATCTCAGGGCACACTCACACACCTGTCACTCACACATGCTCACCTATGGGCAATTTAGTAACCCCAATCAACCTCAGCATGTCTTTGGACTGTGGGGGGAAAATGGACAACGACACGGGGAGAACATGCAAACTCCACACACATGGAACCCAGGCAGAGACACAAACCCAGGTCCCAGAGGCGTGCAAACTATCTCCAAGTGTAAAAATGAACTAATCTCTGTCTGGGGGGGGGGGCACCTGGTGGCGTTCACATCTATTGCAGGAGTTTCACAGTTAAGGAGTCTGCAGCAAGCATGACCCATGTGTTATTACAGCTGTTTTTATGAAACGTTTATTTTGAGCTTAAAATATTTTATTTAAATGTAGTCACACTGACAGGTGTGTAACAGGCGTGATCCAGAGTGAAGGGCAGCACACTGACAGGCATGTAACAGGCATGATCCAGCGTGTAGGGCAGCACACTGACAGGCATGTAACAGGCGTGATCCAGCGTGTAGGGCAGCACACTGACAGGCGTGTAACAGGCGTGATCCATCGTGTAGGGCAGCACACTGACAGGCGTGTTAGCAGGCAGAAATGACACAGGTGTTGTGTTATGTGTTGATGTTATGACCCAGAATGTCAAACTGCACACTCACGTGACGGGTTCCTGGATCTTTTTTACACCAATGAACTTTAGCTGGCCAGAGATTTCCGGAAGGCTCTCGCATCTGGCGAGGTTAATCCTTGGGTAATACAGCACGTAGGACAGACACATCTCATCCCTGGTGCTTAGCCCGCCCTGTGGAGATGTGGGGCACAGAATTAGGCAAGAAAGACACCAATCTGGTCACGTCATGGAAAAGAAACACTCACAATTAAGAATATTTTATTTTCCAAGAAATATCCAAATATCAGTAAACGACATACCATGCTTGTAAAATGTTTTTAAATTCTGTAAAATGAACCAAGGGCATTTTTTTTCTTAACATCTAATGTAGGACAATTTTTAAATATTTAAATACTTATGTAAAGCTGTTCTTTCATGCCACTAAAAAATTTTGCAGTAATGCGCTATTAAGGATCAGCACATTTTGTGGACTAATGTAACTTCTTTAGAGCTTTAGAGAGAGAGAGAGAGAGAGAGAGAGAGAGAGAGTGGCACCATCCTCTGGACAAATATGATATGGCATGGAATAGTTCTCATGGAACAAATACATTTCAAAATATTATGCATGTTAATTATTTCACTTACACAGCTGATCAACAGTGTCTTATGTTAGTGGCTTAATATTCCATTGTGAAGTAACGATGGAACAATCCTCATGAATAACAAAATAAGTGGGACAAGCACACGACATTCTTCTGTTGTAAAACTGCCTTTCTGATGTTTCTCTTAGAAACAGAGCCAGCAGCGGCAAACAGCTTTATCAGCCGTGTCCAGCCGCAGCCCCGTGTTTGCAGACAGGCTGTTCAGCCAAGAACAGGCAGTGCTTCAGTCCGAAAGCACTTAGTGGCAGAATTGCGGGAGAATGACTGCAAGACTCACATCTCCAGCATAAGCTGACTTAATACAAGTATTTAGAAAGACAAAATCAAAAGTATATTAATGCAATCTGTTGACACTGATGCAGAACAGTGCCAACAAGGATGGGGAGCATTAATGCATGCTGGGGTTAAGGTCGTAACCAACGTTTGCAGTTGCAACGAAAGGCTACAGGGCGCAAAATTTGCAAGATCTGAGCAGCTTTGAAGTTCCAAGGAACAGCACAGAAAACAATAAATAAATTAAATGGCAGTCCTGCCCGTTCCGAAGCCCCCTCCCTACCAGACGGGAAACCAGATGTTAGAGACAAGCTAATTTGAATAGTATGGAATGGCAGCCGGCAGCTGAGCTCCAAAACAAATAAATGATATAACAGACACTGCCAATTAAGGGAAAAAACAGAGGACAGGCTGCATTGTTACTGTGGGATGGATCAACCTAATATAACCCGCAAAGAAGGTTCTAGAAGGCCAGCGTACATGTTTGTAATAAATGCAACAAGCAGACATTCCTGAGGACAAACTGTAGACAGCGCTTACCCAAGTCATGTTCTCCCTGCCTTCTGTGTTATACTTGCACTCTGTGATCAAACTGTCGCCCTGCGGATGAGAGAATGGTCAGGGAGTCATTTGGTCACTCCACACCCATCCGTAGCGGAAGGATGGAGAAGCAACAGCATTTTAGCTACAGCATTCTCAACATTTTAGCAGGGTGGGACTTTGAGATCTTGAACTGAACATGACATGCAATTCAAAATATATCATCAAATTCTGGAAAAAGAGTAATTTTAAGTAGTCGTATGCTTTAAGGAAGCAACCAGGAACACATTTTTTTGTGCTTCAAGGAGGTGCTCTGACTGACATAAAACATAAAAAATACAGTTACAATGTTTCATGCCTCATGTAAATGTTAATCCATGCAGATGTTCTTCTGGAATTCCATATTTCTCCCAGATGTATGTCTAGAACATCACAGAAATACTGAAATCATGCAGATTTTCAGTCATGCATATAAATGCAATAGCAAACCAACAGGTAACACCAGCCTCTCGTCTGTGAGGGACTGGAGTTCCTGGAAGTTGAAGTCGAACTCATCATCCTGGGCCAGGTGCTGCAGCTCATCCTTGTTCCGGAAATGCCGGACCTTGATGGCCCTCCCAGCTAGGTGCGAGTGCATCAGAACCGCGAATATCCGGATCCCGCTCGGCATCTCGTGCTCCAGGGACTTAAAAGAACCACAAAACACAAAGGCATTGCTTTAGGTACGAGGACAGCAGCACAAGACATGACAGGATGTTATACACGACTAAATGGATCGTTTTTTTTGGTCGGGTTGTATTTAGGTTTGGTCGGTATCTTATTTTTCATACAATCATACATTATACCACAATATATTCTGATATTTTGTAATCTGCAAAATTTTATGATGAGGGACTCCCCCACCCCAGCCTGCTATACCCAAAATACCACAGTACACCCAAAATACCGTGGTATACCATATTACTGTAGTGCCCATCTGTCCAAGCCCAGTTGTGGCCAGTCGCATCCCAGTGAGTGCTTTGAAAGACTTGGAAATAAAACCATTGCCATCGATTTCTGACGGCCCAGACAGACTGCAGGACTCCAGGCCCGTACCTCCTGAAGACACTCCTTGGTGCAGTGTCCCTCCGAGACAAATTCCGGGAGGCCTGGGGGGAGCATGTGGTAGAGGCTGACCCACACGCCCGTCTCGATTACCCCCGCGTCGTACCGTCTCAGCACCGGAGTGTAGAAAAACCGTAGGCCTGAGCTGTCCACCACTCCTACAGCGGGGACATGGTCAGCAATGGTTCAGAGAGGACTGGGGCTCATCTGACGTAAACATTAACAGAGGGGTAAACACAGGGACAGTGAGGATATATCATTATATTGACCATGATAAAAGAGAATTTGGGGGAAGTTGTGTAGGAGGCCCTTGTTGATGTACCTTGTTGTAAGGATGGATTGTCGTAGTGGACCTCCATCAGGACGTAAAGCGGGTCCATGGAAGTGCCGATGGAGAGCCCGACGTGCTTTGGGTAGGCGAAGCCCTTCGCAACCAACAGAGAAACAAGGTGACAGCAACAGATATTAGCAATGTACGTAAAGCGGGTCAAGTAGCACGGCATAAACAGGCACATGGGCCACATCGCCCAATCATAGCTCAGCAACTCTACTCTAGCATTTAGGACTTGTACCCAGAATGCCGTGAGGCATCTGCTGTGCCTGGAGAAATGTGCTCCAGTATTGCTGTTCACTTCTGGCAGAAGACTGAGGATACATACATACAGTGTACATGTGAAGGATTGTATAAAAGCATAAGCTAGCAAAGAAAAAAGGGTTTGCTCAGCTAAATATTATAAATTAATCAACATTCACACTGCACAGTGCAGGCATTTTCTACACTAATCTGGGCCAGATGCCCAGTTCAGTTGTGTTTTATGGGCAGAGCCTAATATCCTAAATGTTGCTACTTTATTTTATAAGTATCTCATTACTAATTTAGTGCCGTCTATTTAAGATTTTTAAGGACTGGTAATGAGATACATATAAAAATACTATTATTCCTACAATGGGACATAAAATTGTACTGGTACTTACTTCCCAGGTTTAGTGTTATTTTCATACATAACCATTTACATGTCAGAAATCTCATGAAAGTCAAAAAGCTGAACCAGTAAGCAGTCGGCACAGACCACAAACCTCCCCTCCTGTTGCCCAGGCGAAGATGACAGTCTCACAGGTGAGAAATGAGTCAGGCATGTTTGGGTGGTAGCACTCATGGCCTGGATCTTGCTCGCTCGCATTCACATTTCTGTCACACTGGTACAGCAAAATGTGGTGGACCAAGTTCTCGTGGCCTTTCTCGATCATGGGCTCGACCTAGGAAAGTGAAGAACGACCACACACGTTCACAGGCCATTTAACAGCCTCGGGAAACAGGAATATAAGGGAAAACGAGATCATCCCATGCAACGGAAACAACAACAACAAAAAAAACCCCATTTCTTTTTTAATGGAGACTTCGGCATTGAAGTGAAACCCACACAAAAGCAGAGCAATGACATCATGCTGTGAGGCCTCTTTTAAGATCAGCAGGAGACGAGACCAAAGCGTGGCCTGTGACCGTCGCATAAATATTTAAACATTCCTACTTCAGTTTTCCTTCAGATTTGTTTGCCCACATCCGCTCAGCCAATATGCGATGCTTGAAGCTACAGCTTTATGCTAAGTTCATATGAAGAAGATGATGGGTTGGTCTCTTTTTAAGCTAAAATAAAGCATCACTGAACTGAGGGTGTTATTATGTTTTCAGCAACCAGACTCGGAAATTTTTGTGTTCGCCTGTCAAACATTGCAGGGTTTTCAGAGAACGTTAATACTGTTCACCAATACGATCGTAAACTACTTGTAAACTGTGATATAAAATAAATGTAAAATCTACACTCATTGGTACAAGTGCCCGTTTTAAATAATTCCACAAGATGGACGTGTCCGGGCGCCAGTTTAGAGGATGTGAGGAGTATTTCATATGGACTTCATCCTTTACACGTCACAACATCAGCATTTCTCAGCCAGCCCAGTTTCTAACCGAAGCTGTTTCTGATAAAACCTCTTAGGCAGGTTTCACAAATGTGGTCCCCGTCCAGCCTGCCGGAATGAAAGAAATGCCCCCAAGTGGCATGTCAGCTGGCGTAACACATGGCAGAAAGACGCCCGCTCCCTACAGCCTGTCAGAAACACGTCGGCCCGATCAAAAGTGAGATCTCGCAGATTATGTGTTCTGCCGTATCTGCGTGTCAGACTCTTCGGGGGGGGGGCTGAGCTGTAGGTACTGGCATCACATCCAAACTCTCTAGAGTCGCCCCTAATTATTACCAGACCTTCGTTCCGGCACTGTTTTCACTGCAAATTGCTGCAGACTTTAATGAATACCGGTCCCAAGTCAATTACGGGAGGCGTTTAACTGCTCTTGCCTGTACTCCAGTGAGAAAGCTGCTGCCTTCAGTTCTTCAGGCTCAGGCTTTTTCCACTGACCCTGATTGGTCAAGATGGAGGAAACAGACAGGGCATCGATGCAGTGACAGGGCATCGATGCAGTGACAGGGCATCGATGCAGTGACAGCAGGTGGTGTCAGAATGCCTTAGCTATGTCTTCACTGAATGCACGGCTTCATTGGTGCCTCTGTGTGGCTCATCATCTGGCTGGAAAAAATACTAATATTTTGTCTGATAAGCTTTAAAAAGAAATTTTCTTTATACCTACTTAATTGGGGGTGGTGTATGCCCCCCCCCCCCCTCCAATTTTGTATGTCTTAAAAGGAGAGAGAGAGAGAGGCATTTCAATGTACTTATGCAAATACAGGATTATTTCATCATTAATGAGTCACTCCTCTCATACGAAACCAGCCTTACTGCAGATATCGGTTTATAAAGATTAACAATCCATACAAAGATCTGTGATGTTTAGTTATTGCAGGTCTACTTTCGATAAGATAACTGACGTGACTAGTGGTTCTAATTTAACTTTTTACTATTTACTAGTACTTGCTGACATAATGTTAATTGTTACGATCGTGTAAGCGCCCGGAGCGTAGACAAATACACAGGAAGCCGGGAATCAGGAACACAAGGGCTGACCCTGACAGTTAATTTTTATACTGGGAATTTATCTTTGTCTAATGAATGACACAAAAACCAGAAGAGAAATCTGAGTGATTTATAACCGCCTTTATATATTTTGTCTACACAGCATTCCGAAAGAATGTATCATCAGCCATCAAATAAGAAATGCAGTGGAACTATTTTTTTCAAACAATTACATCACTATTCTAGCCAAAGAGGCTTAAAACGGATACAGGGCAGTCTCTGTTCTCGTGTGGCCTAATTAGTATCAACTGATGAAGGAAGCTAGAGTACAGTACAGTACAGGACACAGGCCCGAGGAAGCGATTCCCATTCATTGAGTTCCCAAAATATTTAAGGTCAAGGGCTAAGTAGCCATGGCAACATGAAATTCCTATTCTCCTGCTGTCATTTTCACAGTTTTTAAACCCACTTGTATCAAAATGAATATCAACATCTGATTTTATGGTACTCTGTTATAAAATACAAGATGTACTTTCATAATAAATTAAACTAATAATATAATATGAATAGATATGAATAGTTGATGAATAACACAAGAATGAACAACACCTGCGAAATCTCTCCAGTCTCCTTTCAAATTTCTCCTCATAGCAGACGCCTCGACTGCGCCCGCTCCCTGTAATCCTGAGAGGATTTGCAGCAGACCATGTGACTGCTCTTGATACTTATCATTTGAATGATTTACCCAGGTTTGTAATCAGCAATTATCCAAATAAAAACAGCAGGTGCGGACATGAAACAATCAAAGTTGGGAGGGGAGTGTGTGCCGGCGACGACAGACGCCGAGGAACTGACAGATGATTTGTAGGCCAGGTGGAACGATCTGACAGCTCCACTCTTTCCCCTGAGCGTGAATCGGTAATCCTGATTTGCTACTGTTCACACATCTCTACCCACAAACATCACACAAGACACAGTCCATAAAAGACACAGACGTGGTTTTAATAATCTCTCCTAAAGGATCAGATACATAGATATCAGGTTACTCACTGCTATAATGTGATGTTTCCTCTGTACTTCTGGGATTTTAAACAACTGACACCAGTAGGTCGTGTCCTTAAAGGGCACGGGCACCTGTCTTAATAGAAACAGAAAAACAGGTTAAAATCTTCCCTCAAGGTCAAATGAGTGAATTTATTATTGGACGTTGTTATTCTCAAATCAGCAAAATCGAAATCCAGCAGAATGATTGGCTCTGCTGCAGAATCTCTCTTAAAAAATCTGCTGCTCATTTCAGGCTTATAAAGGAGAAACATATGAGAAGACGAGAGTAGTAGATTTCATCAAAACATCGCCCAGAGTATCGAAAGCAGTGCATTTTTCCTAACGTCCATCCCACTCACGTTGAAGTTCTGCAACTCGAAAAAGTCCGTCCCCGCGGGAATGTCGGTGGTGTCCCTGTGGTTGAGCAGCCTCAGGCTCTTCCGTCCTCGGTTACTGCCGTGGTACTTGGGCCCAGAGAGCCCGATGTCTTCAGTGTGGTACGCCCAGATCACCCGCACTGTGCTCTCCTGGGCCCAACACCAAAAAGACAAATCGGTCTTTACATTATGCTCTCACAATGCTTGTCCCAAGCCTTAAATCAAAATCTACTGTCCTCTCCAAGAACTAGAGGACTTGATGGGAGAGGGAGAAACTGCCAGAATCCAAGAAAAGGGCAAAACCACTGACTATACTGGGGTCGGACACAACATCTCAACAAACAATAATCATTTCAAAATCACTGCACTTTCTAAACTGCACTCTACTCAAACATACCAGTTTGCCCAAAAAAATTACACTTACTGGTACTTATTCATACTTATTTAGATATGCTGCATAATTCAAATTCCCTTTAAATATTATTCACGTTTTCTTATGACCAATATACTAAAAATGTCCAGAATATGAAGAATTCCTAATAAAATGTATCACTAATTTGAGCTAGGTGTTATATGCAAGTAGGCTACGGTACTGTTTGTTTTACAAATGGAGGTTTTGCTTTTTCCTTTCTCACTAGGGTCACTTGTGCACACACACGTGCGTGTGCACAGACTCATACACGCCAGTCCACATGTGTGCAGCAAGGGCCCTCGGGGGTGCGCGGTCGTGCTCCACGTGCGCTGCCCGTACCGTGATATCCTTGTCCCTCCGGTCGCAGGTGCGGAGCTCTCTGCTAAAGCCCAGGACAGTGTGAGTGAGGTTCTCCATGGCGTACTCCAGCCTGTAGTTCTGCTCTGGGTCTCTGTGAACTTTCCTCTTGGAGTCTGTAAAACAGTCCTGGGAAAATCGGGGCAGCGAATGACCAACAGACTTCTCTGGACGGACAGCTCTTCCCTGATTAAAAAAACTTTTAAGCACGAATTCCAGCGGGTAAATAAAGTACACTGTACATTATCACAGAATGAGCCTATCACCATTGAAGAAGGAAGGAACCCTTTATAATTAAAAGGCATTTTTCCACTCTGGTAACAGCTGAGGCAGCACATCTATTGTGTGAAACTAGCTTAATCAGGCCAGATCCCAGTGTTTCGCCACATCATCCATAGCAAGTGTTCCATCCGACCTCTAAAAGCTTATAGAGTGTTGGGTCTTGGTGAGCTTGCAGCCAATCTCAGGAAGCACAGGGCAGGGCAGCCCTCTGGCGGGATGCCAGCCTGTCACAGGCACACAATGAAGGGCACAACCTAAGTACCAAGAATGCAAACTCCACACACATGAAACGAGGGGTGGAACCTCCAGGCCTGAACATGTGAGGTCACAAATGGGTGTGTTTGCACTTTTAACTAGTACAATGCAAAGCAGAAGTGCTGATATAGATTTTGGGCCCCATGAAAGCATATTATATTGGGCCCCCAACCCAGACCAATCATATTATGTTCCACATTTTTAGGACCCCTGTCACTCAGGGGCCCCTGGAATTGTCTTAACTGCCTCCCTCCTTTTGGCACCCCTGATACAAAGTTATCCTGCCTCTAAGTTCAACAATTAGTGAACATAATGGTCACTAACCGGTATTTTTTGATAGCTGAATAATCCTCAGATTTGTACTGAAAATGTTAGGCGCTAGGAAATCCATCACACAGCGGCTGAAGAAAGATTCAAGCGGTGGTAAAGTCAAATGAAGAGAGGGAGGGGAGGGGGGGTGCCTACGCGTGCAGATGTGTGCATGTTTCGGAGAACCGAAACGGAGCGGCTCGGCTCTGCTAAGCTTCTGCCACCGGCCGACCGACTCCGCGCTGAACTCCTGTGCACACTGCCGCTTGGGGAGAATCGAAACCAGAACCAGTGTGAACTAAAATAACACGCTGCATGGACACGTCTGTACTAATCAGTGGGATGAAGTAATTTCAACATGCCTGTATAAATGTTTGTGCCATTAAAACGTAAACAAAGACAGAACTGAAACCAACTTGAATAAAGTTTACATTTATAAAAGTTTACATTTATAAAACTAAGAATCAAAACACCCTTGGTAATAAAAGTAGTATTCATAGTCATAATCTATTCTTTCTCTTGGTGTGCAAGTTTTGTGAATACGATGTCTAGTTAAATGTCAGTCATATCTATGCGTGTGTGTTGCTGGACTGTTCAAAGCTGGAAGATCAGCCAGATCGTACCTGTATATACGGCTTGCCATTCTCCACTCCCCCAATTACGATATCTGATAACGCCATTTCTCCGTTAGGGGAAAAGCCAAATCCGACGTAACCCGTTGTTTCCACCTCCATCTCAAACGTTATGGTGGTTTCGTGATGCTTCCATTTAATGCGGTATTTCCCATGTGAATCCAAGATAGCTGAATGTTTGAACCCGATGCCCGAGGAAAGCACAGCAGAAAACCGGAAAGTTGTTAGGAAAACCAGAGAACATACGTATTTTGGTCCAGGCATATCAGACTCCTATCTAAAATATAAAGTATATAAATCGAGGAAACAAACAAACAAAAAAAAACGCAATTCAAATTAATGTTTCTCCTTAGGAGGTAGATGCACTTTGCAGGTAGGATGAAAAGCGTGCCTGTTTTCGCCTCCGCATCGAGACTAAACGATCAGAGTCTCAGCGAGACGCGCTTCTCTCATGCTGGCGTTTCTGTTTGAACTTGTGCGATGGCTTTGATCTGCAGGGACACGTCCCACACACGTCCCACACACTGCCGCGACCACGCTGCATGTTTCCCACTGCAACTGCTTGTTTTCGCTCGGAATCACCTCTTTCTGCAGTGACATTTTTCATCATTATAGTGTCAGAGAAAGACCTAAAATGTTGTTTGCTGACAGACACTTTATTGTCTCTGATGTGGGAGTGAAGCGGAGGACGTCTCACTTCCAACGTTTACTTTGTGTAATAAACAATGTTCAAATAAATATTTCTTTGCCATGTATCAGATCGCATTTCTTTAAGATAGAAGAAATTATGAAAACCTCTATTGTAAACCTCTAATTATTACATACCCCCGAATACGAAAATTTTAAGAAAAAAAAACGAATATTGAAATTATTGCACTGATTTAGTATCTGTGTGTGTTTTTACAACCGCCCGATCTTAATTTATTAAAACAGCGAGTTAATCTTACACTGTATGAAGTGAGATTTTTGAAACTAATTAACTGGACGTTTTGTACTTAGAAAAACAATTAAAAAAGCAAATGCATTTTCACGTCTTCAGTTTTATAGTGGAAGGTCTAATTGTTATTTATATGATATTTGTTTAAGATCACTTCCACTTTGTCATTCATTATAATGTACAGTGAAGTCAAGGGAAGTAGAGAGATTTCTGTACTTCTACCACGTTCTGAAACTTACAGTACACCCAACGCTGCTTTATAGTGCAGTACTATGGTAACTGGTATTTCCTGTTGAATTCAAACCAACACAATTACCTATTCAGGAAAGGAAAATGTAACAAGGCTTTGTCCAGTCTCTGCATGTTTTGGCCTATGAATGCCACAGCCTCATTAGTCCCAGCTGTCAGCCTGAAATCTGAAGTCCCACCTGGCTATAGAGCTGAATGGAGTTTTGGTCCACACTTCAGCCGAACCACACCCAGAAAGCTGACAGGTGTGAGCATCGTGCATGGCGTCCCCTGTCACATGTCACGAAGAGGCAACCTGCCTTGAATTGCAGCTGCTGTCGTTATACTTGTTTGTTACTTTCTTCAAAAGAAAAACAAAAGCGAGAGACGGAGCCAACGGCCGCGAAACAGAGGAAGAAAAAGCTTTTCTGGCAGCGGAAAAAAGAAAATCTCTTGAGTGTTTGGGGCAAATGACTTAAAGAAGTTTGTCTTACGATGAAATAAGAAATTTTCAGTTGAATGTCATTAAAAAACGGTTAAAACGGCCATTTAGAGCATGAAGGAATGTAGGAAACATGGATCTCAGGATATCATGCAGACTACACCTGTAGGCTGTAGACCGAACTGCTGAGGTATTCAAAGTTAAAGTCTGTTGTACCATACGACACCTAAAACACTTAGATCTGAAACATACCACGTGCAATCAGTGTGGTGGTTGCAAGCATAATAAACACAGCCTTTGATTAAGTGCATATGAGAGTATCAAGATATCTATTTTAAAAGGTGATTCTACCTCAGACCTGGTTAGACTGGCCTGACAGATGTTTTGGCTGCATTTTGCAGTGTAACGTGCTCAGATGCACTGCTGACACTGTGGTTCTTCCCTTTCAGGTCACTGCCTTGTGCTCGCTAGTCTCTTTTTCACCACATGAAGAATGTCACACTCAGTAAATAAATTTCAATTTCAATCCTCACAGCTCAGCTCTTTCCCGAACCAGTGGGATTCTGGATGCTTATTTTTCTTTAGAGTAATTCCATACACAATCTGCTGTCTGTTGCAGAGCGGAAAGCCACCCCTACAGATAACTACATGAGAGGAGAAATATTCTGCGGTAACTGCTGGAGAACCTCTTTGACACAAGCAGTACCATCCTGCTTGGTACAGAGAAAAGAACTGGTATCAGATCAATATCATGAGAAAAATCGGTGTCAGAATCAGGAATTGGGTAAGAAGAGTTAAAAAGTCGGTGTGATACTGTGTTTATATATCAGGTCATGAAGCTGAAAACAAAAGGCAGGTGCATTCGTCCTTTTCCATGAATAAGTACAGTAAGTGTAAAATAACCACACAATCAACAGCTTCATTGTGCCACAATATTTGTACCTTGGAGATGCTGGTGCCCTCTCGCATTTTCGAGGTGCCAGTGACATCAGCGTAATCGGGCACACAGGATGAAGACGGAACTGCAGAATTACAGGGCTTGGTGAAAGGTGTGGTATCATCCAAGTGGATTATGGTCAATGGTGCGAACGTCCTGCAAACTATCACTTAGGGTAATGTTTGTTATGGTTCATGAAGTTAAGGGTTTGACATACTAGGGCAGGGTTCTTCAAATCTGGACCTCGATTCCAAATCCAGGCCTTGTTATCAGTTCTCCCAGGTAGTTAGTTAATAAGTACTGATTCTGATTGGTCAGAGGCTTCACACCTGACTGACAGGCAAAGGAAGGCTGGAAAACCAGCAGTGCTCAGACCTTGAGGACCGTGATTTGAATAACCCTGTACTAGGACCCTGTTATACTAGCCATGAACAGGATACTGCAATAAAATATAAAGCAGTATTTTGCTGTTCCTTTCCGCTATATTTATGGTGCATAGCGTATACAGAGTGCAATACACGTGCAGTATTTTTTGCTTTGGAAAATGTATGTGCTGATAAATTTGCTTCACATTCCACGATTCCGTTCATGGCGTGAGACAGCACACGTCACGCATTCTGCATGCAGCTGTATTTGAGTGCTTGGGTGCTGATTGGCTTTGAAGACACCTGAAGAGGCAGGAAGAGATGATGGTTGGCCAGGAGAGTCACAGCTACCACGGAGATAACGAAACAGCACTTTAAGGCACAGTTCTTTGAAGAGGAGGACAGTGCCGAAAAACAGTCCGCAAAGAAAGCGGAGCGGCCTCGCCGTTTAGGAAGAGTGTTTTGGAAAACTGGGCGAGTGACTGAGGAAGGTAAACAACAAAAAAATGGCTACAAAAAGAAAGACATACCAGGGGCTGCCTGCAGCCAAGAAATCAATTAAACAAACAAGCAGCACTGCTATGTTTAAACCAAACGTATTGTAAGGTTACCCCAGGTCAGGTCAGAGGAAAGGAAAAATATAAATAATGAATAAGCCACTCATGTCACCTTGAGCTGAACTATCCATATGCTCAGGGCTTGTAGTCAAGAACTGGAACCTGTGTTTATTAAGGAGCTCCCCAGTGTTGCAGATTTAATAGCAAACCCACAGGAGAGGTTGATCCCAATGGCATATCCCTCCAGAACAGTCATCTACAGACATCTACAGTATAAACATTTGTATTTGACACTGCGGTTTGCAGAAAGCATACAAAGTAGAAATTTAATTTTAACATGGACACAAAACCTAGACTCCTGAGGGCGTCCAGCCCTCACAGCAACATGCAAGATTCTCTAGCCCCTTCAACACCTGGATCTCAGAAAAACTGGCAGAAACTGAAAAACAAAAGCTGAGCAATCAACAAACTGCTGCTGACAAATTACGATTAAGTCTATAAATGAGAAATGTTTTAATATCAGTCTGTATAATTTCACCTGTGTTCTGTCATGTTGTTGTTGCTACAGGATATACTAACTCTAGTTGTATTTTGCAAATATTTTTCAAAGTTTTTTTTAAAAAACTAAACATATTAAACACATACAAAGCTTAAAAGCCTTTATTCTTATTGTTACTTCATATTTGAAATCCCCCCTCGCCCAGAAATTACTATGTGTTACACAAAATTATGTCTCTGATCAAGAAGTACAGGGTCATGCCGTGTAACCGTATAAGTCAAATACAGCAGGATTGGGTGGCGACGCCTCAGATCAGGTCGATTAAAAAATGAGCCATCTGTCCCCCAATGGAAGGAGGCAGGTGACAGATGTGGCAAGCCAAGGTCTGTCATGATGGACTTCCCAGTAGAACCCCCAGAGAGTCCACATATTTGCGCTCTTACCGCTCCTAAGAGACCCGTACCAAGTGTTTGGCGTTCTCGATTGGCTGGGAGCTGGGGGAGAACAAAAAACATGGACTGTCTGGAGGCCCCCGGCGATTGGGAATCATTGAGTTAGAGGACCAGAATGATCATGGAAGTGCTGACATGTTCTTCCTTAGAACTTCCATGTTCTTTAGAACATGGAAGTTCTAAGGAAAGTAATAAACTCATGTTGGCTTTGGGGACCTTAAGATGATCTGGAAGACATGTATCTTCATTGCACCTGCAACCGACATAACAGGCCACAAGCCTGGTATTGGCACAGTGGAGATCAAATATAAAGAAATCAAATATAAAGTCAAAATGGCTAAAACTATCATACTGAAAAAAATGGCATTATTTAATCTGTATACAATTAATCATGTTACTGCAATGTGAAGAGCTGCAGTGTTTAAAGTTATAAATGATACATAAACATTTCAGTGCTTTACATGGCAACAAAAGCCTTAAGAATTAAAGCTGTAGATCGTATCTGTAAATTCATTCACAAATGTCCATGGAATCTATGGTGTGGCACTTTAACATTGTAAAAAAAAAAAAAATCTTTTAAATGTACACAGAGCGGATCTTCATTACTGAAAAATGTACGTTTTATAAACAGCAGGAAGGAAATCATTTAATCGAATGTATAACTGTAATGAGACTTGCAATAAAATGCGAGGGATTTAAAAATTTGTTAGAAGGATGATGAACACTTGGAATATTGGACCAGCATGACAGGACCACATGGATTCCAACGGCGGCTGAGACGTTAGCTTTTGAGCGAACCCCAGATGATTAAACCAATAACCACAGCAACCACAACCAGGATCACGATGAGTATGCAGATCTTCTTCCGTGATCTGCCCTGAGTAATGGAGAAAAACACAAATCAAGATGACTTTGTTATGCAAAGCCACAGGGCTGATGTTCCTCCTTCATATACTGGCTACGCCTCCCAGAAGATGCATGCATCATTTCGAGGAGGATGACCAGTGAACTTCACAGCAATGTCCGGGCTGAAATCTGCGGATTTATAATGTCCTCTGGAATTTTCTAAGGTCACAGCATGGAATGTAATCAAATGGGAGAAATGATAAAGCTTGTATATAGCTTCGTGCACACACTGTTTCAGTTCTCCATCCATGCACTGTCCAATGAACTGTTAACTGGGACACCTGGCCTATGAACTGGTGACTGGGTTACCTGGTAATCTGCCGCCCTGGCCAGCTGCTGTGTGGCAGACTGCACATTGATGTCAGCGTTTTCCACGTTGGCTTCTATGCTGTCTGTAGACACACAGCCATAGTTTACACAGATTTAATAACTGCAGCCTGTATCATACTGTGCTGCGACACCAAATCCTTTTGATTCATTAAACCAGCAACACGTTACCTGAGGGGGCACAAATAATGTAGTAGTACATGCTTACGTCATGCATAAAGTAACCAGTTACTAAGTGTACTGATCCCATGTCCATGTATCATTAGTCAATCATGACAGTTCTTGTATTTCAAGTGAGAACTATGTTAGCTTATGGCATGTATTTCACCAATAACTGAGTAAGTTATGGGTGCCCTCAAGTAAACCATGAAATTCAACCCCCCCCCCCCCACACACACACAGACACGTCTCTATTGATTTCTTCGATGTACAAAACCCTAATCCCAATAAAGACGATCTTAACCCCTGCCCAGCCCTAATCTTAACCAAAAGTAACCAAACAAAATACAAGACTTTTGGCATTTTTAGTTGTTTGACTGCAGTCACAGATTTCTATAAAAT